AAAATATGCCAAAAAACAATGCTAAGCCAGAGAAAACGAGGTAGGATAAATCCACCACACATTTATGACAAACTGGAAGACATTTGCACACGCACAACTCAGAACCCATAAGTGCACGATATACCTATGAGAAACAAAATTCCGCCCCAGCAGAATACTTCCTATACAAACACAGAAAATCAAAACCCATTTAAAGTTTCTATCACATAAAAAACAAAGATTTTAAGGAAAGAAAATACATGTAAGCTATGCTCATTAACAAAAAAAAATCCAGAAATGAAAAGAGACAATGGATGATACATGTAACTAAGCCGCCATTCAAAAAACACATCATTCCAATGTGGTAAGCCCTGCACTTTAGACACACCACAAGAGGGCGCCACATGCGTGTCGGGAGAGGGGTGATGTCATCAAAGATAAAGACGTCATAGTTCCCGAAATCGTCACCAGGGCACGTTGTTAGGGATGCTTTGCTAGGCCACCATGACAGGTGACCATGATGTAAAAGTTACTACCAGAGGGCGCGTCGTTAGAGACGCATTGCTAGGCCGCTATGACAGGCGGCCATAATGGATAATAATGTTATAGTACCACAAAGTAGAAAACGTGTTTATAGGGAGCCATGATACAACGACTCATACAATACCTATCTCAACATGAATATAATTACTCATTAATTCGATAATTAATTAAATTATTTATAATTAAATCATAATAAAAATGGATGCTTAAGACTAATTCATTAGTTAATTAATTCGTCCTAAAAATGGATGCTTAACACGAATTAATTAAATAATTTATAATTAATTCATTATATCATTTATAACTAATTCGTCATTCATCATTTAATTAGTCCTTCAAGGACAATACAATAATTAAAACTTACTCAATCATGTAATTGAAGATTTTCAGTACTAATTTATCAATTAATTACATTTCTTGTCCTTTCGTATTTCCTGTCTATTTATGTCTAATAGATTTGTTTCATTTACACCATAATATGAGTAAACATTTAAATATTCCCCAATGTTTGGGTATGTGTGACACTTTACAAGTATTGATTTGTATGTAGAAGGTCAGTTTTAAACTGTAAGCAAAGTGCACGGCTGATTTAGTTTTCAGATGTTTTGTATAATTTCTAAAATAATTCTTTATTTGATTGCTTATGTAAAGTGAATTAAAGTTTATTATTATAAAATGATTATAGTAACCAATGTTTTTTGTTACAAACACTGAATTGTTATCAAAACTTTAATTAATTGTTTTATAATTTATGGACTAACTATGTAGTATTGCAAAATATATTTGTACATTACAGACATATGATTTTCTCTGTCACTGACCTCATATCTAACGTTTACCTTTTCGAACTTTATACTACATTGCAACACAGTGCAAATCACATGGTCAAGTTAGAACTGCCCTTTCATCATTCTTAATCTTTAAAGAGTCATGCTTAGTAAACTGTGTGTTAAAGGTTGGTGACGTCAATATGTCCAGAGTACCGACTTTATATTCCGTGTTCTTGAATTCCATAAAAGGATGATTATGTAATATATATATATATATATGTGTGTGTGTGTGTTATAATATGTGACACGCAATTCTTGGAGTGCAATCGAATATGTAAAAAAAATATGCAGATGATCAATCATGTTAACTCAATACACGACCATATCAGTATAAAAAATAGGTGTAATAGCATTCTGACCACGTAAATAATTTCCAAATAGTATTATTTGCATCTACGTTGTATCAATATTTGAATTACTTCAAGACTAATGAAGCTACTTGCTCCTTCAAGAAAATTAATTAATACACCTTTTAGTTTATATATTAGCCTCCTGTTGTCATAATAGCTTATACTATAGAGTCTGTTTTAGAACAAAGCCACTTTGGGATGTCAGCTGTGTTCACCACGGGGAATCGAACCTCGGACTTTAGAATTGTAAGTCCCATTGGGGGAAGTTATAGAGTTAAAAAACACCTATATGAAAGTGATCCACACATCAGACAAAAGTTAGATTGTCAAGGTTTATTACTGTATAACTTAGCTGTACGAGTAAAATACGCTCGACATATTATCAATTTTTGTTACTGTATAACATAGCTGTAAGAGTAAAATACACTGGACTTATTATCAATTTTTGTTTCTTAAAACAATAGTAACTTAGTCAAAAGACTGAGTACCCAGTAGGTTCAAAATAACGAAACTTATAAAAACACATTTCAGTTTGAAATGATATTCCATATCACATCAAGGCACGTTTCTTATCGACATCCATATATATCTTGGATACTCAACTTTAACATCAATGAATATAATTATCTTGAATATAAAATGTGCCAATAAATGTTATAGGAGACATTTTTTTGGTAGTTTCAATTTAGAAGAACATTACATTCATTTGTAACATTTGTCTGGGAAGATGTATTCCAGAACTATATAAACTCATATTTTTCTGTCATTCAATCATGCGATCCATTTCATGTTAATTTTTATTACAAATTAATGCTGACACAGATATGAAAAATTTATAAAAGAAAAGAGCAATTTCTTTTATCCATAATTAGTATCAAGATGGAACTAAAAGGCATAGATTAGTTAAAAAAAACCCGCTATATTTTTGAGAAAATTAATTCACTTTCATTTAAAAATTACAAAAAACAACAACTCAAAGTTATTTCAATTTAAATAAATCTCATGTGAGATACATAGTGCAACTGATAGGTGATTTTTTATGCATACTCATACACTTAGCAGTTTTCACAAAATAACACAAAATAGGTTTAAGTATGAGAAGTGCTTGGATGAACATTGTGCTTATATCACAAGTCTGTCTTGAAATATTTACATTCTGCAAAACTATCGTTGTGTTTTAAAATAATTTTGTGACTTTATAATGTAGTATAAAGTCTTAAAACAATAAATTTATAGATCAATGATAAAAATGTTATAAAACATATATGTACATACAAATTATGTATCTTAATATTACTTACGCCCTCAACTCTGTAACGCCAATTACATTCCGCCTGCACGTGACGCTTGTCTCAAGGTAGCATTAGAACATGTGGAGATAGAAATTCAACAGCCAATTTCACACCTTACTGAAATTATTTCTAAGATTAGCAAACACATAATTTATCTACATGGGACTGAAGGTGTCATTCAATTTTCTTGTATTATAGAATGTGCATAGTCGGAAAATGATTCCAAGCTAACATGTTCCATGTGTGCTTCTGTGTGTAAAAAAAATCCGAATTCAAGAAAACAGTGCTATTAAAATTGTTTTTCACCTGTTTGCCTACACAAAAAATCAAAAACCTATCGTTTACCTTATACTCAAATTAAAGAAATTAATAGGTAATCTCTTTACTGCACAATTATGAACTATACCTGTTTCTTGGGAAAACATCGTTCTCTTGTTAATAGTCTTCTTACACACAAGTTGTATTTACTTCTTTGTTTTATTTATTTATTGTTTGAGGACCATGTTGTGTCCACACAAACGATTTTCGCTCTACTTTCTTGTTTCTAGGTTATTCTCTCTAGATGTCAGTTCCTCGTTTTAAGGAATGAGATGAAGAGAGAATTTTTTCAATCTCTGAACTTCCCGTCACGAATTCTGTTTGTCAAATTACTAAAGCTTAATCAAACCACATAACACAACATTACACACAAATAAATATCCATGAAAAACACAAAATCGCCCATATTTGAATTAATCGACTCATGTTGTTTGTTAGTTTGCTGCAACCAAACGATGATTCTCTAATTCAATACTGACAAACTGTTGCAAAAATAATGAGATTTGATGATAAATGATAAAATATTGAAAATATTCTGTGTGAAAATGCTACATATGATATATTTTCCTGAATGTATATGTTTTAAACCGAGGAAAAATATTTCATTAAAACATTTAATTTTTTATTACCTTGTTCTATTAAATATACAGGCAAATTCTCCTACACAACGGTATTTGTAACAGCTATACATTTAGTTGTTTTTTTGTGCAATAAGTCCAGGAGTTTTAAAAAATGGCAATGAAACGTGTGGATATAGATTTAACGTGACTGTCAGATTATTCATTTTATTGTATAAAGCTTAATCAAGCCATATAAAATAAAAGTACACATAAGTAACAAAGCAAACAAAGAATGGATGGTAAAATATGGAAGTCAAACAGGTCGATCTTGTCACGAACTGACAACAAATTAATGTTGATGCTGTAATTGGTTGTAATCAAATAATGATTGTATTCAGCAAAAAAAGTGAGATTTGGCCAAATGAGAAAAATACTGAAAAAATGGCCTATTTGTAAATTTTATAACTGACAAATACTCCCCTAGAAAAATTTTGGTAAATGAAATCCAAGTATATTTATAATTTTGTAAATTTCATCAAATAAAAGTAAGTTGTTCTAAACACAGATATTTGCAACAGTTTACATTATATATTACATTTTTTATCAGTGGAACAAATTCAAAATTAAAAAGGCCAAATTAGGGTAATTTTTTGTATATTGGAAAGTATTTCATTTGATTTGTTTGTAATTATGCATAAAGCTACACAACAGGCTATCTGTGCTGTGTCCACCACGAGTATTGAAACTCGGATTTTAGCGTTATAGGCCTTCAGACTTACCGCTGAGCCACAAGTAAATACACAAACTAGGATATCCTACGTCTGTATTGTTACCTAAGAGTAAATACTGTTTAATAATAAAAACATAAACACATGCTGAAAACCTTCTATAATCAAATAGTATAAATACAATAGTAAATGTGCACCATATGATCTGCTTAAATACATGTATTGAAAACAACCAAACAAACAAAACATGTTCTGAATATATCTGAAATAATGCTATATTCATATAGATGAAATGAAATACTATTTTAAAGCCAAATAATATATATATATAACTAAATTTTATTTTGAACCACTTAAATTGAGAAAAATGAAACACTTATAGTGTTTAATCAGGCTTTAATAAACTCTACGATATTTTTGATTTTCCAAATATTTCATAGAAGAAACAAATAAACGTTCTTTCATTAAACTAATGTTTATGGTAATAGCAGTTACAAACGTCTATTTGTTCGCAGTTTTCCTTCCTTCTCTATAGCCTTAGACGTTGGAACTTGTATCCACTTTGAAACGGATCAGTCTATTTACATATGTGAAACAATTTCGCAGGGATTATGATTTCCATCAAAAGACGGCGCCACCTGAAATAGATACTGTAATTAGACCAGATTTCAAATATCATAGGTATTAACTATTAAAGATATACTCTTCTAGTTTAAGATAATTGACTTAAGTACCTGGTTATAATTCACTCATTAAAATACATTGAAAACATCTGGTAGGATAAAAAAAAAGACAAGTGTGGTTTTCGAGGGAATAATATATCTGAAGTGTAAATGTATTAATATTTTAGTTCCCAGTTTGAACAGTTACCTTTTAATATTAGAGATTTTAAAATAGGATTTTAATGAAGTTAAACTAATTATAAGCTTGATAAAAAGGGCTGCTTGCTATCCTATGAATTGCGAACGAAACGAATGTGTAAATGGTACATAACTTTTATTGTTTTTACTTTCTTATAGTGTGACTTAACCACAAAAGATTGTTGCAGGATGTTAGGAAAGTTTTTGGTTTTCAGTTTATGAGAAAGCTTAATAGATTGTTTGGAATGCTGTCTTTGAAAATCCAGGTAGCAATGTTTCTTTAAATTATCAGTGACATCTTTTAGCATAATTCTGAGTATTCGGAAGTTTATGATTTTTAAATTTGTTCTTCAAATTTTGAATCGCTTCCTTTGTGGACGGCTTTCAGAAGGACATATAATGTTGGATCTTCAGCATGTTGCAATTTTTTAATTAAACCCAAATTTAGACAATTCAGCAATGAGTTGTGTTTCTGTAGTTGCTGAAACGTCTCTTCCGCGGATTCAATGGCTGTGTCAACGATTTTGTCAGATAAATTGACGAAGAAAGTTGGCTGTTATCAAGGATATATTTATTAAAACTATTATAAGAAAACTCTTTTTCCCCAAGAGAGAGAATCTTCTATTCTTGCTAAACATTTACAGTTCACTTGAGTCTATTAATGCTTTTGCGGAGCATTTATCAGTTCCGTACTGATGAAGAAATATTTATTTATTTATTGTTATTAGAGAGTGGCTCAAGATATACTATACTACAAGACTATCCACATATTTGAAACTTAGCATCTTAACAGCGATTTCTTTTGCTTTGAAATGCAAATGTGTTCCTGTGAGGGCGCTGTCTTCTGTAAATGAGGCCCAAACATCATAGGCCTCTCCCATTTGGTACTGGATTGGAGGAACAACATCAATTCTACTTTTACATTGCACATAGCTCAAGGGCTTCCTGGTTAACTGGTAATCATGTTGTAGGAATACTCTTCAGCAATAACTTGAAGCAAAAAAGTCAAAGAACATCAGTGCAATAGTTTCATGTTCCATTAAACACAAGATTTAAATAGTGTGAATTGCATGGTACAAAACAGGTCTCGGATTTAAGTTTATAATTCTTTTCTGAAGACCACTGGTATTTCTTTTCATGTTGGCTCCATTGACTTTATAAGGCCTCCGAATACTTAGCTGCATTGTAGTTGCTAAATTTATGGAAGGACTTCTTATGGATTCCATTCGACACCATTTAGATGTTAGCCATATGTCTTTAACGGGAGGTATTAATTTAAACCAAGTTGCCGGAGTAGGATGAGCCTGAAGTGGCTCACCAGAGATGTAGCCTCTCCCCCAAAAAATGTGCGACCCCACATTACAGGAAGACACAGCATATCACCAGTCCCATAAACATTGTAGAATGACATAATTCAGCCTAAATGGCTGTCAGTATAGCGACAGAGATATTCTAAACTTGCTGTTCCAGATATTCTGTTGTAGATAGTGAGAATCAAGATCCACGGAGAGAACAACGAAAGATACGCTTACTATAGACTATAGACAGTTTGGTCATATGTTTTATTGTGCCTGTACAGAAGCCCACATATATGCCAAGCTCAGATAGTAAATACTGTCAGCTCTACGTGTTTAAACTAACGAGTCCTAGATCAGATCTGGCCACTGATATTTAAGTGAATAACTACCTGTCTGTTATTTAAGATGTAGTTGTTGGTTCCGCATCTATAGGGTCAAGCATGACTTTTTACGTGTCAGTGAAAGTACAGACATTTGGTAGAGTTTCAGTTGATATGGAAGCTGCTAGAATTCAACCTCACAGTGTATCAGCCACTGCCATGTAGATCGCCACTCTGGCCAATAAACACAGTATTTTCCAGACCATTGACGATTAGCTTGCTATGAATGGAGAAGCTTGATTCTACATAACTGTTGGTGTCATCAATAAGCGTGTGAGTTATTATTACGGGTCTTGGCTCGAACATTGCCATTTTATGTTTAGATGTTATACAGAAGTTATCTGTGAGCTTAGCTTGCGTACTAGATGAGCTGCATCTGTGTGGTGCAGCTAAGAAATTCCAACCATAATATGAAAAGGGGGCATAAATGTATATAGGTGATAGCATTACAGTTATGTTTGTACTACGTAGGTGATGTTTCTTAGAGTTTTTTCACACACACTCTCAGGTTGTATAACCAGCTGATGCTGTGATGGAAAGATATAGTTTTCTTTTGATAAACCAAGCCACACTTACTTGGACAGTAATCCTTTTAAGAGCAAGTTATATTTAAATTATGGTAATCGTATTGTGTAATTACCAGTCGGAAATATTGTTGGTCTATGCATAAAGAAAAATATGCAAAAACTAATGGTGTAGTTAGTGTTGCTTTAGCCACATCATACAGACATATAATTACATGATTGGTAGTACATCTGAGGTCGCATGCTGAAGATTGTGCAGACAATCTGAGCTTAGACCAATAGAGGAAATTCGGAAAGTTAGTGATAAAAGTAGCCAATGTATGTGGATCAGATGGCTGGCCGATAACAATATCCAGAATCATACGGATATCAGAGAAATGCATCGCATAAAGCAACTTCCACGCAGGTTTCCTTGGAGTTCAGAGGACAATGCTCAAGTAGATGAGATGCTGATGTACAGAAATATTTCAACTTTCTGAGAGTACTTGATCATCACCTTAAAACAAAGATGACGTGTCGCGGTTCTGTGTGGGGTTCAGATGGGGGAAATTATAACATGTTTTGATACATTCGCATTGCCACACACACTTACGAATATTTGGAATCTATTGTAAGTGTCCAGCTGGCTCAATTTACTAGATATCAATTGTGGCTATTTGCACGTGGACTAGGTGCTAAAAGCAAAGACAAGACCACTTCCATCATTCTAGAAAGCTTGTAGGAATTCCATGACTTTCCATTAACCCTGTATAATGTGTCAAATACTTTTGAGCTGCTGATGGAACATGCATTGCATGGTTTGAGTTTAGTGTCATATATATATATTTATATTGATGATATTCTGGTATCTTATTACAAGTTTGTAGCCACAGTTGAAAATCTGGACATGAAATTTTAACATTTGAGACAAGCAACTCTGAAACTGAATCCAGAAAAATGTTCACTCGTGGGAACATGGCCATAAAAGTCTAAGCACCAGAAGGGCGACTACTGAACTGCCTAAGACTCCCACTTGGCTAATAAGGTGAAATCAACAGACCCTTCAACAACAAGAGCCACTGCAACCACCACGAAGTATCTAGCGATAAACAGTACTACAACACTCATATTGGCATCGTTGACTGGAAGGCTAGGACCTATGAACAGATTGTCCAGTCAGCATATAATCATACTACAACTCCAGGGCATTGATGCAGTGAAAGTATCACTGTGAAGCCTAGGCTGCACAATGGAAGGCCATCTGGGCTTTCACGCTGCATGAAGATGACCACTGCTGGAAGGAGAAGAGGGTGGATTCCAGGGCCACGAGAAACTGTGCCAGGTCAAAAGCTGTTTATGTCATAATTGAGGCCATTTTTCATGCCCATAAGTCTAGTGTAGATAGATACATAGATCGTTAGGTGCATTACGATTTTGTGCTTCTCATGCTGTTCTGTGATATTAGTATATAAAGTGGATATTGGTTGTGATTTTCATCCAATGTTTCTGAATTGTAATTTGATTTAAATATTGTTATTAAATCTAAGTTAAAGTTGGCTCAAAGACAAGCTTAAGATAAAGGTCAAGGGCGATTGTGGTGTACACATACCACGTATCTCACTTTCTAAAGTACATACACGTGTTTCATATTTATATAACTTTTACATTTTTCAAGAGTTCTAATCCAGAACATGGTAAATCCAGCCAGGAAGGATGGTGTGTTAATTAGACCTTAGGTGTTAATTTTTGTAGCGTGATCTAGTTAAGGAGGATATATACTGTTTTGTTATTTCATGAGATAGTTGTATTGTATCATACGTTGCTCTATGTATGTGAACTGCTTTATGATTATTATATGGAGTAAATATTCATCTGGATACTTGTGATCTAATTTCTCCTGTTGTTCAACTGCATAGAGAACGTAGATCATATGAGCAACTTTGGCGTTTTCAGTCAGTTTTCTTTCTAATGCCGAAAAGAGTCAAGATTTGCTGTATCTACTAGTGACCCTTTCAACTTCTTACTGTGTATGTTTGGTCTTTCCTTTTTTAGTTATATCATTAATTTCAAACTATGCTTTACCTTTATTTAAATATTGTTCTTCTTTCTATTCTACTTTAACCATACATAATATCAATATACTCCCACCAGATGATCGGCCACTGTCTCATGTATCATTGTCTGAACTTCACATAATGTCTTGTGTTTGTCACTCTATATGCAACAAAGCACTACACTTGTCCAACAAATCACTACACCTGTCCAACAAATCCCTACATCTGTCCAACAAATCACTACACCTGTCCAACAAATCATTACACCTGTCTAACAGAGCACTACCCCTGTACAACAAAGCACTACACCTATCCAACAAAGCACTACACCTGTCCAACAAATCATTACACCTGTCCAACAAAGCACTACACCTGTACAACAAAGCACTACACCTGTACAACAAAGCACTACACCTGTACAACAAAGCACTACACCTGTCTAACAAAGCACTACACCTATCCAACAAAGTACTACACTTGTCCAACAAAGCACTACACCTGTCCAACAAAGCACTACACCTGTCCAACAAATCCCTACACCTGTCCAACAAATTACTACACCCGTCCTACCATATACTAGGTCCCCGTGTCTCTTGTAACTGTGTGCTTGATCCATCATGAATCTTGGATACAGAGACCAAAGCTCTACTTATGGAGAAGTCATACTTACTAGTAATTCATAGCCAATCTGTCATGCCAGTAAATACTAAGTTAGTGTGTACAATAACGAAAAAGGTATGTTTTATCCTAATCAGGAGCAGCGTCTTCTTTTCTTGTCTTAGAACAACTGTGAAGTCATTAACACAGGAATGAAACTCATATGCTAACTAATAGGCTGATATTTAGGCCACAAGGTTAATATTGTTTTATTTATGAAAGCCATTTTTTTCTTTTCCTGTGTTATTAAGCACAAAGCTACACAATTGACTATCTACGCTTTACAGGGTTTTTAGCGTTATAAGCCTTCAGACTTACTGCTGAGCCACTGTGTGTGTGTGGTGGGGGGGGGGGAGATGGTGGTTACATTGAAACATACAGTATTTCAAAATAACAAATATCAGTTGAAATCTCTGCGGTTTGCGTTTGCTGTTTATTGAAAAATAAACCCAATCTCGTGTCTAGTTGGAGGATTCTATATTACAAGTACAAGTTCAGCATATCTGAATAACTATTCCTTGGTACATAATATTCATTATTCTCAAGATATTTATCGGTGTAAAACAATTTTTAAAACTTTGTATAAATCATTCTACGAATTAATGTAATCAAAAGTTTAAAAATAATGAACTGTTTAGTAATTAGTTACCTTTTTTCCGTTTTGCGCAATATGTAATACAGCGTCATGAACAGTGGGGAACACATTATTTTGAGACACTTCTTCAAAGAATCCACCTTTTTCTAACATGGAATATACGTTAGCTGAAAAAAAAATGTAGAAGTTAATTGCTTGGTGAATATAACAAAAACTGTCATTTTATTAACTTTATAGTGACAGTCTTTGGTAAAATAAAAGACTTTCAGTTATTAACATGTAAAATACGAAACACTTTCAACGTAATAATGTTTTTTTATAATTCATGTTAAATGCGATGGTTTTACTGTCTTGAAATGTTTACATGTTCTACAGTAATTCTTGTACGCTGAATCCGAAAATGATATAAATTTGTCTCCATCATGTACAGATTTTTCACAAAACGTCATATCACAATACATAAAAGAAAGACTACAACACGTAGTTTTGAGACTAAAAAACGTAGGTTTCACACACACAAAAAATCAGGATTAATAAGGATGCATATTCGTTTTACATCAATGTTCTTCCCTTTTCTTCAGTTTGTTTGTATTTTTGTTAACAAACATAATAATAAAAAAATGTTCATTGTGGTAAACAAAATAATAATTTGATCTTTCTGTCTCACTGAATACACTATGGAAAGTATTTCTTTACTTCTTCAATTAGTACTTTCTCTATCATTTTCGAACAGACTGTACTTAGCTCTTATGTGCTTGCAATAACCAATGTAAAATAAAATTTTATT